AAATGGCACTTCGGCGGTTGATTTTGCTGTGCTGAAAACGTGCTGGTAATAAATTTTTAATTTCTCAGCGCCAGTCCAAGGATGGAATTTTGCAAATTGCTCTCACGGAGAGAGAGAGAAAAGGAGAAAAAGAGAGCATAAAGTCTGCAGAATTTATGATCCGTTTATGCTGTGACAAATTCCGTGATAATTCACTTGATTGCGATTGAAAAGTCTGATATGGTAATTTTAGACAGTTGAGTGAATTACACATTATTATCACTCATTTGAATTCATATGTTTTCCATGAATATTTTAATATTGCTACCATTGATTTTCACATGTTTGGCAATGTTATTCTGAATAATTTGATGGCGGTTAGAGAAGTGAAGCAGCAAGGAAGAAAAAAAGGGAATTGCGCTGTTTTGATTTATCAGCAAATAATTTTCAATTGCATTTGAATATGTTATTGAGTTTTATTTCCAACTTTTATGCTTACAGTAAAATTCTACAATATAATATTATAGATCTTTCACATCTGATACAATTGTATTTGTATCACAATCAATGTTTGATTCCTTGTTGCGTTGAAAACTTTTGAACTTTTGTGCTTTTTCTCTATCTGTACTACAAAATACATTATTAATATTGCTCTTCTTTGCTCATTGGCTGGTATTGATTCAATTGCCATCGTGAATTGCAATGAGAGCCAGTAAATTGAATTTAATATCTTCCTTGGCTTTTGCAATCTTGTGAGACAGAAACCCCTTGCTTTCACCTCACGCTGCCAGAGCATTATGTATAGGGCGTCCCATTGCCTTCGGCGGCTTCCCTTTCTCCTTGTGCAACGTGGTGGAAATATTTCGGATGCAATATGAAAATGCGATGGGAAATAGCAAAAGTTTCCCAACTATTGTGACTTCTTCACGTGGAATGCCTTCTTTTTACCCACTTTGCATCCACTTTCGGCGCATTGAAATCCGTGTGAGCTTTCACTTTTTTCCAACCCTCGCAACATCTCGAGGGTCTAAAGGGTGGTGGTGGCTGGGGGTGGGATTCCCCCTCGGGCTCTTGGGAGATCTGCTGCGCAGCATGACATATCGAAAATCTTTAATATTGCGAATACATGTTGGCGAATTTCTACATTTGTTTCCTTCTCGTAGGAATTTCTTTCACATTTGATTTACAATTCCTCGTGACAGGATAATTCTTCTCTGACACACAAGTCTATAAATTGTATCATATTTTGCTGCAGCTCTCCTCAGCACAGCACGGCAAATTGTTTGGTCATCTAAATTTCTCCTTAATTAAACGCTGTGCTTAAATTGTGCCACTCTGAACGCAATGTTTTTACACGAAATTCCCCGAAAGTTTCTTCCTAGCTATGTTCTTCTACACAAATTCCTACAGACACATTAAATTAATAAATTGTCTACAAATGTCTCACTAATTAGAAGACTCTCCGTGTGCTTTTGCGTGAGAAATACCTTTCATTGTGCGCGAATTTGGGCTAGAATTGAAAAGATCTACAGCTCAGACGTGCGAATATTGCTCTGAATTCTCCTCTAATTTGCACACAACATGGATCGATCCATGTGTCTGGCTACAAGGGGGAGATAATATGCCTTGAATCTGTACATCACTTCTTAACGCTTCCAACACTTCAAGTTTTTGGACAGTTTCTATGCTAATAATCGACTTAAACTCGCTTTTTTCGGATCATTTTCCAAGCATAACCTCAAAATATTACTATAGGAGATCAAAGACTCTGTTTGGAAACTTTCTAGGACACAAAATTAGCTCTTATGAATTGTTAATGAAGTAAAAATTGCTAATTCATAGTCAAAATCACCCAGAAAGTTTATTGAATTTACATTTTTCAAGTCCGCATTCGATTTTTTTTGCTTAATTCTTCTAATAAGTAGCGATTAATGTGCTAAGAATGCAAATTATTCACTAAATCCGTCATAAATTTAACACATAACCTATAAAAGGATTATTTGTGATGATTTCTAGCGAAAACATCAAAAGAAATCTAAAGAATTGGGAGCTTTTGAACGTTTTTCTTTATATTTATCTCCACATTGTCTTGATATTAAAGATTTTGCAGACTGGAAAAGATATTTTGCTGGATTTTCGATCAAGATTTTATTGCAATTCAGTGTAAATATTCTTTTATACAGAACTTTGATGGGAAAAAAGGATGAAAAGTTCTTTAAAATATGAAATGGGAAAATATACAAGTTTAATGAGTATAATACTTTCTATGCTTTTGCAACATCTTTTCTACACTACTCAAGTTCTTAGGCGTGAATATGCAAGTTGTCATAAACTTTCAGCAGACTTTTCTTTAAAGCTTTGAGTTGAGGAAATGTGAAAACTGAAATAAATCTCCTAATTGTGACGTTGCACTGCTGAAAAGCGATGTAAATATTCATACAAATTAAATGCTTATTGTGGAAAACATCACTTAATTCACAAACAAATTTGTTTTCTCTCTCACAGCGAAAAGGAGCTCAAGGAGAAATCTGATGCAAGAAGAAGCGCGAAATCACATTGGAGCAAATCTCCCAATAAACATAAAAGTAAGCGAAAGATGCTGAAGAAGTTTGTATGTTGGGAAATGGAGCCTGAGGATTTCAGAATCGCATTTTTCATTCAAATTGTCTCTCGCTTTTTGTATTCTATCCTTTTTTCTCAGTGCAGAAAAAGAGAGCGCAAGACAAAAAAAGTCCAGAGGAAAAGCTATAAAAAAAGGCCACGAGAGAGCTTTGAAAATGTGCATTTTCGCTGTTCATGGCAAAAATTGTTCAATGAAGTTCTTTTTGCAATCGTTGGTTGTTTTAAAAGTGCATTTTTGATTCTCAATTCTGAAAGTTCTGACTTATTATTTTAATGAATTCTCAGCAACTTGACGCAATTCATTCCCAGTAATATATGATTGCAAAGCAATTCACTGTAAATGGTGTGTTTATTTTGATATGATGGGAAAAATAAACATAAAATACTGAACTGTGTTCGATAAATATTGTCTTTTGTGCTTCTTTTTTTCACTCTCTCTCCCTTTCTCTCTGTGAGAATGTGTGGTGTGAGGCCTATTTTCCAGCGTATTTTCGTGGAGGAGCCAAGAGGCCGAGAAAAAAACAAACATGAATATATGTATGACGGTTTCGGGGGGAGTAATTTGATATCAATTGAGATAAACCTGCATGAAAAATTGGAAATGGAATACATGAGAATTTTCCCTCATGAGTGAAATTGATATTTAATTTTGAAGACTGTGGAAATAAAATACCGCGCCAAGATTGCTCATCGCGTGCATAAATCTCAATTGGTGGATGACAAGGAATTTAATAAGTTTCTTCCTCTATTCTTCATGTGGGTGGCGAATTAAAAATCAATCTCTCTCAGCACGGATTCTTCGCCGGAGCAAAGTGAATTCTTGCCTGGACGAAAATTCCGCCAGCACTCGATCATGAGAGTGGATAATTGAAAAATTCTCCATCGCACATTTCGCCGGAAATTCCATCAATAATCCTGGGGTGCAATTAGTGGCAGGAGCACACGAAATATTAACACGGAAGCTGCACTTTATCTGGCTTCCCGCGCAAGATATTCGCTCTCTTAGATACATTCCTTCCACCTCTTTAAAAACCCATAAATTTCCCCTTGTGCATTTGAGTGAGAGTGAAACGGCGCGAGAAAAAAAGACGATAAATCATTTTCCCCGATAGTATTGAATTGAGATGGATGAAAAAGGACTGCGGAGGAATTTCTCATGGAATCAAATATTACTCATTCTTATTTATCCGTCAGTCGTCTGTGAATTTATCTCGGGGAAAAATTGCTTCACACGATGGCCTGAGTTGAATGATCTGCTCAGCATAAACTATTGCAGTTCAGCACAGTCGGAGCGAAGTTGTCGGACTTTGAGAGCAAAGAATGATAAGAATAAATAACTGAGAAAAATAATTCAGAAAGTTTCAGTTAATTCCAGAGTCAGAAATATTCTTTCATTGAATAAATTCAAAGTTTCTCGAAAATTCAAGGAGAAGATAATATGTCTAAAATTTGTACATCACTTTCTGACACTTTCGCAATTTTTATAAAGAATCCTTAACACTTCTCGGGACTTCAGACTTCACAGATGATTTAACCGAAATCTAACCAAAATATACCTGAAATCTAACTGACAACCTTAAAACTCAACGTTTTCATACAATATTTATTGATTTTCTTCCGCTAAAATTGCACTTTTGCGTATTTTTCTTAATCATAATCCTTAAATTAATATTCTTTTTTTATTTCTAACTCAAATTGGGACCGAATATTTAAAAAAAGATGAAGTTATGTTCGATTTTTGCGTTGTTTCCTAAAATCACGATTTTCATTGAGTAAAAAGACGCAATTCTTATCATATTATTTAGTTTTAAATCAGTCCCAAAACCTAGAAAAATATGTCAAAACTAAGATTTGGTTTTAAATGTATTTCTGAGAGTAAAATAATCAACAGAAACCCGAAGCTGTGAACCAAATACTGCATAAATTGCAACACTTCCACTTAATCTTTCAATATTAATCTATGGTTTATTAATAAATTCTATATTAAAGTCACTTAAGCTCACTTGTATGTCACTTGATAAAGGAATTGCATTGCTTAACTCCAAGACGTTCTGTATCAAGTGGCTTTCCATTCTTGAATTGGAGCATAAAACATTCAGAGACGACGCTGGAATTGCTCCTGAAAGACACCTAGATTGGGTCAAATTGTATTTTCCTCGCATTTCACTCAAGTGCAACATTAATTTTTCCCCAAACGAGAGCTTTTCAGTGGTCAGTGACAATTTCTACTGTACTTTTCCACTGCAGTGTCTCACGTACGGAGTCGACACAATCCCGACATATTTCACTGTAATACCAGCGGTGGGTATTTTGTGATTTATCGCTTTATTATATTGCCACAAGGGAGGAGAGAGCTTTTTGTACGTGCATGCAGAAATTTAGTGTACAAAGTTACTTACTGAGGCGGGAAAGTTTAAATGCATCCGCTGTATTTATAACATCCACATAAGCCTGCAACTCAAATCTCCTGGCTGAAATGTTCAAATTGTGGTTGAGGACAGCAAATTTGAAAGCACTCTGCACTTCATCTGTTCCCTGTTCGAATATTGCACCTGAAAAATTCCACCATTCAATCACCCACTCAAGCTTTTATTCAGCTACGCATGAGAAGCTTTTCTCTTTGATTTTGCCGCTTTTCCTCGCCGAGCCGAGAGAGCCTAATTGATCTGGAAAATGGCGTGGGGGAGGGAAAAAGCGCCTCTCAATTGACGCAATTATTTGTCTGGTTGGGAAAAAGTGTCGCCAAAGGGATTCTTTTTCACCCTTCTCTAATTTTCCCACCCACGGAGTTGATGATTTTTGGGGCGCGAGGTGGGTTTTTCATGTCTTCCCGAAGCACTTGTTAATTATTTGATAATTACTATTTTCATTTATCATTCTCGGCGGCCCGGGGAGACGAAGATGTGCCATGGCGGATTAGATTGAAGCGTCTCTGTGGGTGGGGCTGAGCTTTCAGGCTACCAAAAAGTTTAATTACCGCCGCTGCTTAAGCGTCGCCGGTATGCAAAGTTGTTTGCTCATCGTGTCCACACTGTGACGGGGAGTCTGTGAGGTGAAGAAATCACCATTGAAGGTCGGATTGGGGGAATTTGGGGTCACACGGCATTCCCCAACTATCTTTCACTATACATATTTGCAAAATGCTCCAAGAAACCGCCTTTCTCACCCTTCAATTTAACTCGCATTTGTCGCTAACTTTTAAAGGCAAGTCTGGCGTCACTTGAAAGTGAACATCACAAGACAGCATCCCCTCTAGAGGTGGTGGCGAAAGTGTTTATACACTCCTCTACTTTCTATAGCTTTTAGTTTATCGCTGTGCTTTGATGGTGCGAATCCCGCCCTGTTTTTGTCACAAACACCCCTTCGCGCGGGGAGTTTGAGTTTAGATATCAAAGGAGAGATACACCCTGAGGCTTCCCATCTCACTCTTTTTTCCCGCCGCTCTGCCAGGAATATTACATTTCGTTGCCATCATCGACATAAATGCTATCTGGGAGCTTTTGATGTTCACGAATATACTTGTGTAAGCGGAACTTCCTATTGTCAATCATTTGGCGCGAAACTTTGTCACTCTCGAACGTGTTAAAATGTCCGAAAATCGTGTGAATTTCATACAAAATCAGTTAAATAAGCCAAAATTGTACAATTAAATCCTCAATTCACTAATAATGAGACACGAGCTTCATAGATATTTCTGCTTAAATGTATTTTGAGTTAATTTTGGCGAATAAAAAGTTGTACAATTTCCAATTCAGCAAATATGTGTGGAAAAGATAGTCCGGAATTGAAGTGAATTGAATTGCAATTTTCTCACAGTGTGGAAAAACAGGAAACTTGCATTTCAGTCTTTCTTACATTTCACTTTGGGAAGAATTTAAGAATGCGACAAATGTTCTCCATGTATTTTGAAAATATTACAATAATGACTTCTCGAGAAGAACTCCAGAGTTTGAAAACTTTCTTGTGGAAAAGAGTGAATGCTTTCCACTGAATTTGCAGTGGAGCTTCTGTAAACCCCTTCGAGGGATTTTCACTGTTTATTCCATCAGAATAAATATCCTGTTTAGCCCAGAATTCCTTCTGGAGAATTAATATTACTTCCCTGAGGCTCTAATTTTCTATACAACACACTTCTGTAATGAAACAATCTTCATTTTGATGGTAGTTTGGGAAGATTGTCGGCGCTGGAAAAATGCAAATAGCACAAATGCTGATACAAGTGACGATTTTCAGCGGCAGAACTTCTTGTGCCTGCGAGGCAGGCGAAAAAGTTCAACCTCACAGATTTATTAGTCATGTTGATGTTTTCGTAATTAATGATACACATCAGAAAATGCCATGGCACAAGTTATCGCAAGATCTGGTGGGATTTGGCTGCGAATGTGGCGGGAAAAGCTCCTCTCAAGCTCGGCAATGCACTGAGAAAAGGGTGGCATTTGTGTGTTGTACTAACCAAGGGGTATTTTTTCCGTCGATATCTGTGTTAATCCACTGTCCATTGTGGTCAAAACCACAATGATTAGTGAGATTGATGCTCTTGTGGTGAAAATCATTTTACTGTGCTGGGGTTAAGACAAAAATGTTGCCTCGGCGCGTGATTTATTAATCCTCCTCTTTCACTGTTTTTTTCTATGCTCCTTTTTCCGGGCCTTCTCGTGGGAAATTTTCAGAAATTTCCTCGCTGCAGTGAGGAAATCCTTCCCATGTCGCACATTTTTCTTCCCAGCCTGTTCTTCACTATCCCCGTCACCCCGTCCCAACAACCAGAAATCTCATCAATCGCAATTGGAGGGTAGAAAATCCATCACAATCCGGCAGTATTAAATTCTCTCCTCCTCAGGCCTAAGGATCAATCCTCACACACTTGACAGAACACACGGGTTTTTTTTTTACTCTCTCTCTCTTCTTTCAGCTTCACATTGAGAAATCAATCAAATCACTTGCAGTGCCACACACGGGCCCAAACATCCACTGTTTCGGGGGTGATAAATCGGTGAGTTTTCCTCAAGATTAATCCTTGTGAGGTGTTCGCGAGATTTCACCAAAGACGCGCGTGATCGCATGACCGAGTAGCTCGAGATGCTCCACTGTACTAAAAGTGTCACCAGGAGGAGAGCTTGCTCTCGAGTCCATCGGGAGAATCTGCAAGTTCACCCGCGCAGACGCCCAGCTTTCGCAGCCTCTCCGCCACGAAAGCTCTCCACCAGCGCCGAGAGGGTTGGCGAGGGTGCACTGATAAGGAGTTATGGGTGCTGGAGAGGGAGAAAGATCACGGGGAATAAGGTATTAAATTGTTATTAAGAGAAAATTCACACAAATCAAATGCGAGTTCAGCCCCAACTTTGGCCCAAAATGCAAAATTATTCGCAATAATGCTCCATCATAGCGCACTATATATTCCCCTCAGTCTGTGCATAATTTATACATCACACCAGTCGCACTCCCAATTCACCACTGGCTTCTCTGTGCGGAATTACAGAAAATATTGCAGAAATTAACTGGTGAGCCCCGGTGCTCATCCGGAGACCGCGAAGGAGAGACAGGAAGAGGATGCAAAAGGAGGAGAGAGCCTGGCTAAGCTGCATCTGTTCTCAGTCCATCAACAAAATTAACCCAGTCTAATTGGATTTCCTCCAAGGCGGAATGCAACTCTTGCGGGCTTCTGAGCACTTTGCAGCAAATTTAAAGAGGATGAGCAACATTTACACACCAAACCATGTGATATATTTCATCTCCTAATCAGATTATCCACCAATAGAATACCCAATTACATCGTAATTGTCACAGTCTTGCTGCCACAAGACGCGCACGCGGCGGTGGTGGAAAAACCTCCCGGAAACTCAGGCACAGCGACATTACACAAGACAGTTGCTCAAAAGGCAGCACAGGTATTTATAATTTCAACTTGTGCAGACTTTGACTTTTCCTTATCGTCCTTTCACAAGATGAACCGTCGCAATGCCAAGCGCTTCCGCTTGAGAGGTCAAAATGTGGGCATAAAGGTAATGCAGAAATTCACTTCTTCCCTCTTGATTGCAAGCCTTATCTTCCCACTGCCCGAATTAACTTTATACGCTTTCGTCGTGTAATCACGAGTTGACTCAATTTCTGCACTCACAGAATAATAATCTTGATCCAAAAACCATCCGCAGTTGATCTTTCAATTAAAAATTCAGGCTGAAATTGCTCAATTTCTCAGTTAACATATTTTTTCCCAACGGAAAAGTCCTGGATATTTTATCAAAATTAAAATATTTAAACTTCACAGTCATGTTGGAGTTTCGATTGTATTTCCTCCTAATTTTAAGTGTTCTAATTCAACTTGTAGTAAATTTTGTGTTGTGAATTTAAAAATGTTGGTAAAAATATTTTATTTTTGATTTTTTTTCAAACTTTGATTATTGATCAAAGTGAAGAAATTTCTTTCGTCAATAAAAATTACAACGTAACTTTCGCTGTTCTTACGCACATCTCTCTCTGCATTTGGCTATATCTCAGCACAAAATTAAGATATCGCCATGATCTCTACGTCATTTGAAAGATTATGAAATTCTAGCCATTTTATGTCTTAAGGTAATTGTCTTGAAAATTGAAGGAAATATTGAATTTTTAGCACCAAAAATTGGCCCAATTTTCCTTGGAAAATAATCATTTTTGACCATTTTTATTCAATTTTTATTATCTTAAAGTAAAAATCAATATTAAAATGTTTGATTGCGACCATTAAGATTCCTCATAAATTGGCTCGTGACTTTCACCTCGTTTTTTTTTCACCTGAAATTCGTACATCTCCATTGACCAGGAAAGATTCTTATTGTGAACTTGCTTTTGATCTTAAGATACTCCGCAGGCTTGTGCTCAACGCCCCAACTCTAGGCGTGCGTGTGTTGCGAATATTGCAAAAGTCAGAAAACTTGAAAAGCACATTACTTCTTATTTTGTCACGGGGAAATTTTGTGACCTTTTCCACCCTCGGCGGAGGCGGAAAAAATTGGGTATAAGATTGGGTGAAAAAGAATTTCCACTTGAGCAAACTTTAAGAGGTTGTCGTGAAGTCATATCGTGAAATGGCGCTGTGGAAGGTGAAATTTGATTTTTATTTGTTTAACAAGAGAATAAATTTCATGATAATGGAGATTTTGGGGCGGCTGTGCGCCGAGGGTGGATAAATTTCGGGAGGGATGAGTGGCGTGGCGGGAATTTGTGTGCTGGGGTAGAATCAATTAAATCGCCGAAGAAGCTGCCAATTTCATACAATAAACAGCCAATAATGTGGTGTATGTGTGTGGCCAAGAGTCTTCAATGGGATATAAAAATCTATTTAGAGAGAGAGAAAGTCCTATGATGAATTTCTTATAACTTCACTTTTGCTGTCTCTCGTATTTCGTCTCATGGCTTTTGTATATTTTCCGTGTCAGTCAAGTTGAACTTTATCTCTTCTATCATTCTGCACACACAAGAGTATAAAGTAGTGAGTATCATAACAATCATGCTGCAGATAGAAAGTCTGCGCCTGTAATCTGGTAAATAAGGGTGAGTTTCTCAGCTCCGACGTATTCCGTCTTCTTCCTTCTCTCTCTGGGCTCTAAACTCACTCCAATTTGGTGGGCAAAAATGGGGGTGAATGTGTGCGAGTGTGTGTGTGTGGAACTTTTCTGAAAGATGAAAACTTTTGAAACAAACTCAACATTGTAATTCAGCGAATGGAAAAGTTCTGCCGAGGAGTGAATCCTATGTATGAATGTGTCGAAGACTTTGACGGGGAGTTCTCTTTGTTTTTTTCCCACCCGTCGACGCTCTCTCTCTTTATATCAAGGGGAAAACCAGCTCACCCATTGAATTTTCATTTCATCGCCTTTTTTCCAGAAGATGAGTGAGCAACTTTCTCACAGATTAAATTCAATAATACACCCTTTGCCAGCGAGAAGCACCATTATCCACCGCAGTCTTCTCGCAGAAGCACCCTCAAGTACGCTATTTGTTCATCCCATTGTTTCATCCGATACAGCTCTTTTTGCCTCCCCCCACACACCCTTCAATCCGAATCAATTCCCAATTCCACCGGCTCCCCTTTTTGGGGGGGAAGCGCGCGCGAGAGCATTTTTGGACCAGGGTTGCAATTTTTGTCGGGCTTCACGGGCGCGAGAGCAACGTCCCTAATCCCGGGGCACGGTTTCACCACCCCCTCACATATGGTGGGGCTGTGTTTTCTGCTGAATAAATAAACAAATTGCGAAATTGAGTGCATTCATATTGTATTATTTGAACATCATTAATTTCACGGCAACAGCGGAAAGTGTCATAACATCAACAAATTCGCCATATCGCACACAATCAAGCATTTGCCACGCACGCAATATTATGTTGCAAGTTTAATCGCTCATGGCTCGCAACATAATTGGCATTATCTGCAATGCAGCCCAGCCGGAGTGGCAAGAAGGGCCCTCACTTTCTTCTTTTCTCACTGATTCCCCCCCCCCCCCAAAAGCCGCTCGGCGTCCCGAGGATTCAGCTGAGGGCACTTGTGAGTTTTCTTACATGCGGAGTCTGTTTATGAAGAGTCAGATAAGAATTTTAATTGCAGCGTCTGCTTCATTATCAAAAGGGTCGCTGAAGCGTCGAGCATTCCACCGTCTTCGCAAGCGTCGTGAGAAAATTTTAATCAAGTAAAATAGTTGAGAGTCCGGGATTATCATGAAGTGAATGCCAGGGAGTTGTGTTGGTTTAGTCCCTGGATGGGCAACTGGGATGCACAAGTAAATGGACTTGGAGTTTATCTTGTGAATACTGCCAAAACAATCGGGGCTTTCGGGGGTGGAAATTTGTGATATTCATTTGAATGAATTTCGATCAAATGCCCGCCAGACGTTCGATTTGAAAGTTCACATCCAATTGATTACATAGAAATGCTCGAGCATCACTCAAATCAAGGGGGAGATACAATAGTCAGAAGTACAGCTCAGCAGAAGGACTTTCTAAGCCAATTGAAACATTTTTTGAATAAGAACTTGAAACTCATTCTATTTATCCTCTGGAAGAATTCTTCAAAGTAATTTTCTAGGTTATGTGATGAATTAAAGCAAGACTTTAAAGCAGTCAGAGTGGAAACAATCTGCTTTATCGATAGAATTAAGCATTTTCGGCAAATAAAAAAGGTTCAAATTGTATGAAAGTGAAACATAACCACAAAGATGTGGTTCAGATCAATTTAAAGAATCTTTTCACTCCAAATTTTGAGCTCAAATCTTCAATTATGAGCTTCAAAACGAATTGAAACAGTTGAAAATATACCATTTGTATATTTTAAATGTTTGGAGCGTTTGTTTAAAGCCTGCTAAAGTTATTTTTCTTTGGTTATGATAGGAAAAATTACCAGAAAAGTTATTAAAAACACCTTTCACAGAAATATTGATCGAGAGCTTTTTAAATTTCTTATTTAAAGTTGAAAAATAACATTTTGCAAGTCAAATTCTCTATACCAACCGGCAAAACACATCGAAATCTGCCCAATTGATATCCCTGGAGATATTGTAGCGGGAATACCACGGTTATGGCGGCCTTCTCCCTCTGACGAGATTCTCGCTGCTAGCAATATTTGATGGTAGAGGCAACAGTATAAACTTAGGCTCACAATATCAGAAGTTTCTCGTGACTTCTTCTGAGATTCTCTTAAGATTCTATAACAGTTAAAATAGTGATGTACAGATTGTAGCCATTTTATCTCCCCCTTGGCTCAAATCAAAATTTATTAAATCAATATCAGAAACACAGACTTCTAGTGCTTCTAACCCGAGCTTCGCTCAGCATTGGTCGGTTGAGGGAATCTTATAGCGTGACAACAAGTTTGTGGTCTGTTTTATTCCACCACAATGGCCAATTGAAGCGAAACGTGCAGCATTCTTCGCAACATGAGCCACTGCTAATGCTTCGCTCACATGCAAAAGAGGTTGATCAGTGGGACAAAGGCGAGAGAGTTGGCTAATGTGTCCTAATGAAAAATTCACAGTGATTCTTAATTCATTCCACCCTCTTGTGTTGAGAGTTTGGAAAACATTTGAATTTTTTGGCCGGCGCACCGAGTGAGGAAGT